TAAAGAGAAATGGAATCTAGGGAAAAGAAAAATGAGATATATAAGTTTAATTAATACGGACGAACGTTTTTCAATTTCTTCAATGGAATAAAATAAATTTAATTTGCTATAGCAAATAATTTTTTATTTATCTGATATTGATATCGTTTCGAGTATCTGTTAAATTTACAGAATATGAAAAATGCGCAGAAGAATTCTCGATTGGAGAAAAATAATTAAATTTTTCATGAAAACAATCATAATCTATTTAACTTTGATTCCATACGAAGTATAATTATATTATGAAATTGTTTTGCATTCGATTAAAATGTGTTTGTTATTTTTGAGGATTACGAACTTCTTCTAAAATACGAACGTCTAAAAACGTATTGATTGCAAATATAATAATGACCAGCGGTAAATAATCTCCAAACGAGCGAACAGATCGAATTGTTTTTCGTTAGGAATCATTTCGTTCATGTTTTAACGACATCATCATTTTCTGGATCCTTATATAGCGGTCAACAACCATTGTACTCGCAATATTAACGTTAAAGACGGAGTATGTTAATAAAAGGATCGCTATATTTTTTATTTGAGAAGAAATTTAAAAAAAAAAGGAATAAAACAATAAATAAAAATAACAAGAAAAATAAAATCTTTAAAATGTTATGAATCTTTATTAACAAGAAAGTTCGATCGTGAAAGAGCAGGAAAAACGCAAACTTTTCTGTATGCCGGATTGCAGTTCCACAGGCGTCTAAGCTATAGTTGTGAATAACGATAGTCGTAGAAGAGAAGAAGAAAATATCAAACAATACTGCTATGATAATCTAATGTCATATGCAGATTTTCATATACGATTGAATATTCTGAAATTGTTTCTATCTATCTTTTATTTTCTCTCTCTTTCCATATCTTTGCTTTTCGTTCGATTTTTTTTCGTGACAAAAAGAATATAAAAAAAAGGAAAACGAAAGTCGATATTCCATAGTGAAATTACTCACTGAGATGACACGGATATATCACAGCTTTTGTCTTTTCTGTACGGTATTGTCAATACGGTATTGTCAAATTTCCGACGTTTTCCAAACGTAATTTCCGACAGAAATTCCAAATTCTAAAAATGATTTTCTTTGTTTGTTAGTAATCCAATTAACAGATCGTGCCAAAACAATATATTAATGATAAACAAACGGACATTTATTTTACATGGTTTTAACGTTCGAGTTCATAATTAATACATGTTAATCAATGATGGTAAACAATTAGTTTCGTCTCCATATTCATGCAATCTATCATTTTCGGTTTATCGATTCCGTTTATCGATTATTCACATTTGTGTACACGTACACAAATAACGTATTGTTAATCTATCCAAATATGATGTATCAAGATTTCTTTAATTCTTACAATAACATCGAATTCTAGCAAAAATTCTAAGCTAAATTCTAACTTTTAAGATTAAAAAATAATCTTTTACTGCGAGAAGAGAATGAAAAAAAGAATCAACAAGTCACACCCAAAGACATGTTTTTTCTTCTTCGTTATCTATTAAATACATAGAAAGCGGCCTTATGTAATTTGTCAGGTATAAGTACTTATCGGAAGGACTGACATAACTGAAGTTATGAAATTAGAATCAACAACAATCATGATACCGTTAATTTCGATCGTTACAAATGAGAGCTTTGCTCATCAATATTCATATCTCGTTGTGTGCATATAAAGTTTTGTACAAACTCGCCTCAAAATGTCATTATAACTTAAATCGTTATTGCAACTGTCAGAAATATGGAAAGTCAGAGTTATTCTACATTGTCTTGGAAGTTGAAAAAATTGTTGATTTTAAATGTATTGGCTCGTTCCGATAAAGCATTAACTCGATGATTAATAAAAAATCAAAGTTTGAAATAAGCTATTTCCTATACAGATACATAATGCATTTTTGTTGAACTTATTCGCTAGCATAGATGCGATAAATCTATTCCCTGCGAGAATTATATTATGCGTGCTAGGTAATGAGAAAAGTTAAGTTATTCGAAAAATGATAGAAAAGAAAGTAGCAGAATTCATCGAGGATGTCTATTTTATAGACTAAAATGAATTAATAACGATATTCTTATAATTACCATAGAAATAAAATGAGAGTATGCTTCGCGTGTGAGTAATAATGAATCAAAAGATAATCGAAATGTAAACCCTATTTCGTTAAGAAAGATCTTGAACTACTTCGTGTGTGTTGGCACGACTTGGCGAAGATGACGAGAGACCAATCTCGCGTCCTCCGTTCTTTGGTGACGCAGTCAAAACCGAAGGATATCACTGCGTATATATGTATACGCATTTATGCGGGTGTGTGCACGGTAAACGCATGAATGCGTAGACAGGAGGAAAGAAACGTCAGGGTAATGCGATTTCCCACAGGTAAAGACAGCTCCACGCCTCTAAGCAGGCGTGTCGCGTGGAAAGCCAAGAGATTCCCAGTCCGCGGCCTTGTCAACGGCGGCTCTTTGCTTCAGATCCAACTTCAAACATCTACTCCAAGTATTTCCGTTCGGAAAAAAAAAGAACGTAAGAGAGGGGAGTTGATGGTTAAAACCCGTATATAGAGGATCAACGCGATGTCATTCGTACAGATCGCCTTACAATTCGTGAACCGCCTCACACGCATTTACACGTCTCGACTTTAAAATTCGAACCTTTATTATCTTGAGGCTTCTTCTTGTCGCAAAATGAAGTCCTTTTTGCTTGTAAGTCGATTTATTTTTTCTTTCCTTTTTTCTTCTTCTTTTTTTTTTTTTTTTTTTTTTTTTTCATTCGATATCTGCCCTCGAAGATCGATATTTTATCAATATTTTCACAACGTCAACGAACAATTTCGAGCAAATATTTGTCAAGATTTTTTTTATTGGTTTTTTTTTTGTTAGCTTTTCAATTTTGTATTGTGATTTCATGTGAATATTTCAATTGAACTCAATTGAAATATTCAGTGAGTCGTTAAGAAAGATCGAGCTAATGGCTTTGTAAAGAAGAAATGTCGTGAAGATAATATAAGAATATAAGTGAAGATTTCTAATAACTCAGTTTGAAAGAAGAATGCTTGACACGCTGAAAACGTCCTAATTACGTTCATTAATTTGCGATTCATTCGAAGCAGAAATGATTAGATGGAAAATTTATATGCATTTCGATCTATCCCATGTATTATGCTCGTAAAATTCATGAATGACCAAAAGAATGTGATCATCGATCGAACTGTCAATTAATTTTCGTTTAAGAGCTGTTATGTTGGTACGTTAGTTAAATTAAAATTTTCCAAGATTTTTTCATTTCTTGTGATATTTTAAATCGTACGCGTACAAATATCTTTGGATTATGAAAAACTTTAAAAAGGACAAGACATTGATATGATATAATTAGGTCATAGATTATACTACGCCTATATGGAATGTATGTTAACTGTGAGAGTAACGAAAACAAGAAAAAATATATTTATATAAATAATATATAGATAATATTTACTTTTTCAGATAATGAATCTTTTTCTCTTCTTCTATACCTAATATTTGTCGAAAGTCTGTGGCAAATCGTTCGAAGATATTAAATCTCTAAGATTTGTAGATGGATAATATTTATTGAACGATTGTAAGACTTTCTATTACTTTTGATTTTTTCTCTTTTAAATTTAAATGTTTCGATCGAAAAGAAAAAAAGAAAAAATGAACACTTTTGGAATTTGTCCTCGTTTGGATTTATTTCTTTTCAAAGTTACTTTCCGAATTACTCGCGTGCTAATAATCATTATCATTTCTTCTTTCTTATATCGTACCGTTGAAAATCGCGTATTTCTACATCGGTGCTTGACATTGTTATGATACGTACATATATAACGAGCATGATAATCACATTTAATATTTTGCTTGTCAAAAGAGATACTTATATGTACGTGTAGTAGTATACAATTATGATTACCTCTGCGATTCACGGTACACGATCTGACTGTCTTATGAGATTCTAGAATATTATTAGTCGTCCTCGCTTTTGCAGGTAACGTATCTCGTTGGATTGGTCGTGTTATGCAGTAGTGCTATAGAACTGACAAACTCAAAATTATCGACAAAACTTTTGCCGGTAAATGACGCGAGTGGTACGAAGGACTTGGATACAGCAGCCAGTGATCGAAGTAAGCAACAATATATTCCACTTCATCCATGTTACGTCTGATACATCACGTTCTTTCATTTTAATTATTTTTATCGTATTCGTGGACGTATCATTATATTTTTGAAAGTATCGGAAACGAAATAGTCATTTATTATTTCATTTTTTATTTTAACATTATTTCTTTGACAATTTCGATAATTACATTAGAAAAGTCGATAATGAAAAGTTTTTTTTTAAGTAAAGTGACTTACGATCATAAAAATGTTTATGAAGAAATAAATAGATAACACTGGGAATCCTTTGACTCATTCTTGATGATTTAATTCTAAGATTAGACAAATGAGCGAACTGGAAGCATGTTAGATTTATGCATAATTTTATAAGAAGACCTTCAACAGACACGTTACATTAGCATCCGATTACATGTACCACCTTTTTCCTTTTACGATAATAACCGTTCGACGTTTCAGAGCGTGAGAACGTTAGCGACACAGATAGTCAATATTCGCCGTAAACACATTTCTATGCATATATATATATATCTATATATATCTATATATATAGATCTATATATATAGATATTTATATATATATATATATATATATATATATATATATATATAGATAGATAGATATATATATATTTCAACAATAGTATAAGTTCATTTTACTCGTCCAAGTTCACACAATTGTCTACGATTGAACGACCTTAACCCCTTGACTGATGATATCGTGTGAAACAAGTGATATGTTTTTTACGTATTTAAATATAAAAATGTACAACAGACATAAGGAAAAAGTATAAGAATTAGGTTTGTGATTTAAATGCGCTTACATTGAATACTATTTGCTATTGGATTTATTATTAGTACTTGATTGCATTCGCACGTGTAAACTGCATTGTTCCTTTACTTGCAATTAACAGTATTACTCTTTTTGAGATATATTTAATAAAGCTCTTATATGGAATGTTTTCGAAAAGGAAAATAAATGCCGACGACTGTTTATATACGGCTAATAATCAAATATTTGATAATGATAGTGAATATAATTATATATTATATCCTAAAAGGAAACTTCTCAAACGATCGATTATTGAAGATAATAACGAAGATGAAGAAGATATTAGCCATCAATCGGAAGAATGGATTTGGAAAATGACAAATAATTATCCGAAGATCTGGAAATATAGACAGATTCGTGGAATGAAAAAACAGTTAGATAAAAATTGTAGTAAGTTAGATGTTTCCTTATACGATATTTGATAATATTATATTTTGGGAAGTCATTGTCACGGAAACGAATCGTTACGCAGATCAAGTTATAAGCGATGAAAATAGATAAAAAAAAATCAACGAGACTTAGATTCCTTCAAGATGTGATCATTTTACGTGATTGTTTTCGGTCTCTGCGAGCGATGTGATTTTTTCGTCGATTATGGGACGTACAATAGTTACGAATTAAAATCATAAGGCAAAGGCTTGAAGTAATATCAAAGATTAAAATAATCGTACGCGATGTATCACGTGCTTTAATTATTTTTATATATTTTACGAATTATGTGTCTAGTATTATTTATACGTCGCTTAAATGCCTATGATTATTTTAAGATGATAATATAATTGCAGCATTCTTAATCGGTAAAGAATACGGTCAGCCAGGCTACGGAGGGTACGGAGGTTATCCCGTATCTATATACGGACCAGGATATCGTGGTACGAATTTAACACCAGGATATAGGGGATATCCAATCGGTAATCCTGGGGGTGTTATTGGAGGTGGACATACTGGGTGAGGATACATTTGTTAAAAAGATTCGTTTAATTTCCAATTAATCGATATAACAGAATCAGAGAAATTCTTCTTTTCTAGATATGGATATTACGGGAACAGATATAATCCTTATTATAATTATGGTGCTTTCGGTGGTTCCGGTGGTTACAGTGGATACGGGAACATTGGTGGATATGGTACCTTAGGAGTTGGAGGTTACGATGATCCTTATCTTGGATATGGTGGTTATAGTGGTTATGGCCGTTACGATGGTCAAGGACTCGATGGATATGGAAATTACGGTTCCGGTGGTTACGGTGGAACTTATGGTTCTACGTATGGGATTAAAAACAATTATGATCCTTATGGTTACCGTAGTAGTAGTAGTAGTAGTAACAGTTATGGTAATTATGCCGGCTATCCCTCCGGATATAGGGGTTATTCCTAAAAGTTTATGAATTTGATATATATGTATAATGCTAATACATAAAATCAGTAGTCGTTTTTTTTTGTACGTACCTTGTAACAACATAATAATATTAAAATACGGAAAGTGTTTATTTTTCAAACTAAATGATGTTGTTTCGTATATTTGAATAATACTTAACATACATAATTAATACATGATTTGTAGTAAATATTAACATGACATTTAAATGTGAAGTAGGGAAAACTTAAAGAAATAAATATAACCAACGAGAACATAATAATTAGTAATTAGTTCATTATATAAAATGTAATATATTCGGACGTAAAAATTCGGACGTTAAAATAAATTTGTTGGACCTAATTGGATAGTTTTTATGAAAGTATTTAAAATTTTAAACGAATCAAATATGTATATAAATATTGTTAAAATATAATACAATTTATATTAACTAATCTCTTATTTTTTCTAATATATTATAAATAATTGTTCACACACGTATATATGCATAATGATTAATGTTCATTTATCTATATTGGTATTGCACAATATTTATAAATATTTATAAATGCGTCTAAGGAAATAATCAAGCGCACTAAAATTGTGTATGTGGAATAACTTTGTTTTTGCATTTTCCTTGAAGATTTGACAAAATAGTACGTAAAGGAATAATATTTACTTAAGCTTAGTATTCATTAAATGGGTTTGTCGCAATATTCAAGATGAAGAGTAATTTAAAAATATCGTCGGTATAATAAAAACATTAATCTATAAACGACTTATATTTTCATGCGTGATGTTTCATGCACGAATAATCATAATCGTTTAATAAAGTCGTTTGGATGCAATATGTACATGGGTCGGTCAGTCGACATGCATTCTAAAGTATTATGCACAATAAGTAATGTTTAAGTTTTAATATCATCGAATCGACGACCATCTATTAGCTGACCTGCAGCTGGCAGAGGGATACTTCCAATATTTCATATTTAATTCTTATAAGAACGAATACTTCTCTTCCCCGAGAAAAAAATAATATCTTTTGTATATTAATATGAATAAGTTAACTAGATTCATTATACTACTTTCCTATTTCTGATTTTTCTCTTCTCAACAACGTTTCTGATTGGAACATTCAAAAATCCAAGATTGGCCACACTCAAGACGTCCTTTAAATTTTCAATATTGCCAAGTTGATCTAATTGTAAGCCAAGAAGTTTTGTTTCTATATTTTCACCTGACGTGGTACATGCATTGCATGGATACGGAACAGGTGTTGCGGAGGGATACATAAGTTTCATTTTGTGACTATCTGCCTTGTTGCCAGGACAATACGGTATAAAAATGACAGGAATGAATCCAAGCTGACCAATGAGAGGAGGAGCGGATGTTGTGCTGCTAGTAATATCGTTTTCCTTGTGCGATTCAACTAAGTAACAAGGACAAGCTTGAGGATTCGGTCCTAAGGGTAATGAAAAGGACTTAATATTGACCGGATGTGGTGGTTGAACTCCTGTTGCGTTTATTCTATGATCTGTTTGTTCACCTTCCGACGATGTATTTATCTGTTTCATTATAGCAATAGTTTCGTTTTCGGGGGAATCAATATTTTCTCGTCCTTTGTTTTCTTCATTTCTATTCAACTTCGTATGTACTATAAGGCGGCTTCCTTGATGGTTTATTTCATAAGGTTGTTCTAATGCATCTTTAATAATATCTTGGGATGCAAAAGTATGATTGGCAGAAAATTTATATTCTTTTCGGTATTGTTTCTGACGATGAACAGGGAATTCTTCCAAGTCTTCTTTCGGTTCTTCTGCACGCTTAATGTCCTCTATTACCTCGTATTGATTATTTTGTTTACGTTCAATTTTCAATCCGTATGTCTTAATGTTTTTATCAGTAATTTCATCTTTTTCTAGATTTTTCGAGAATGTATGCTTCAGATGATCTGACGTTTTCAACGTATCATGCATTAATGAATTAATTTCTTTCGCATTATGGTTAACATTTCCTTCATCAATTTGTTCATATTCTTGCATTTTAAATTTACTATGATCCAAATCGACGATTTTGCTTACTTTGATAGGATATGAAACTTCTGATAATTTATCATTATTTATTGCACTAGCAATATTCGATTTTATAAGTGATTTTAAATTAATTTGTCCTGGAAAATCTGTTTTTATCGATGAACTAATATTTATCGGCGTATAAGATTTGAGCCGTAAAATTTTCACAGGACCACGAGAACGTGATTTCGCGGAATGTATTACACTTGAGTAATAATCTGGATCACCAGGCCATGGTCCGTCAGGTCCTGGAGATCCGGTTGGCCATGGACCATCCGGGCCTGCTTCACCATCACCACCGACGTCTCCAATATCGCCTATATCACCAATAGGTTCTTTTGGTCCAACAGGGCCCTCAGGGCCATTGAAATAAGATGGATATTTAACATGAATTGGGTAATCTAGAAAAATGTATAAGAATCATTACAAATAAAAACATGGAAAAAAAATCCATAAGATTTTACAATTTATCAGAAAATACACATACACAATTCTAATCTGTATTAAATTTTAAATATAAAATTTCATTATACTATTTTATTAATAACAATTTATACTACAAATATATAAATCTTAATGAATTTTTTAAGTCCTAAAATATTAGATAATATTAAATTTCTAAATATAAAAAAAAAATAATACATACTTGGCTTTCCAAATAAACCGGGTCTTCCGCTTGTTCCCAGAATCCTAGGATAAGCTGACGGGTATCTAAGAGATCCATTATAGCTTCGATGTAGTGGATAAGGCGGATAGGGTGGTATATTCGGTCTGTTAGATCTTTCTGACGTGTCAGGATATTCGGCATGTTGTTTTCCTCCTGATTTTCCACGATATCCAGAATAGTCTACTCTACTTGAAGAAGTTCTTGTTCTGTCACGTTCAAGAGGTCTTTGTCTATCAGGAGAGATAGTAGGCCTAGGTACGACAGGATATCTAGAATACGTTAGTATTCTTGAGGTATCAGAATTATCGTCGTATTCAGAAGTATCTTGTCTACTTGGAATATCAGATGTATCATGATATTCAGGATATGTTTCTGATGTACCACGATTCCCAGGAATGTCCTGTCTACTTGAAGTATCATAAGTTTCTGGGGTCTCAGAATATACAGGATATGGTTGCGTTTCTGAAGTGTCATTCTGGTGTCCAGATGTATCTAAAGTATCAGAAGTACCTGGTATACTATATTGATTAGGCGGTCTTGGATTATCTGGAAATTTGTAAGTTTCAGATGTGCCAGGGTATGGAGAATGCGGTTTGTTTCTTGATATGTCAGAGTTTACACGAGGCGATGGTGTTCCTAATGTATCCAAATGTGCTGGAGGTAGTGAACCCAAATGTCCTAGAGATGGTGAACACAAATGTGTTGGAGGTTGTGTTCTTGTCGGTATTTCCACAATAGCAGGAGTCGACGATATGCCAAGGTATTCAGGATGCGATGGCGTTCTCGGTGTACTCAAATATGCTGGAGATGGCGCATCCAAATGTACTGGAGGTAGTGAAACCAAATGTATTGGAGGTAGTGAAACCAAATGTGCTGGAGGTGCTGAACCCAAATGTGTTGGAGGTTGTGTTCTTGCCGGTGATTCTACAATAGCAGGAGTCGACGATATACCAAGGTTTTCAGTATGCGATGGGGTACTTGATGTACTCAAATATGCTGGAGATGGCGAATCCAAATGTACTGGAGGTAGTGAAACCAAATGTATTGAAGGGAGTGAAAACAAATGTGCTGGAGGTGCTAAACCCAAATGTGCTGGAGGTGCTAAACCCAAATGTGCTGGAGGTGCTAAACCCAAATGTGCTGGAGGTGCTAAACCCAAATGTGTTGGAGGTTGTGAACCCAAATGTGTTGGAGGTTGTGAACCCAAATGTAATGAGGGTTGTGAACCCAAATGTAATGAGGGTTGTGAACCCGAATGTGTTGTAGGTTGTGAATCCAAATGTGTTGTAGGTTGTGAACCCAAATGTGTAAGAGTTAGTGAATCCAAATGTCCTGGAGGTAGTGAAACCAAATGTATTGGAGGTAGTGAAAACAAATATGCTGGAGGTAGTGAACCCATATGTGTTGTAGATTGTGAACCCAAATCTGTTGGAGGTTGTGAACCCAAATTTATTGGAGGTTGTGAACTTATATGTGTTGTAGATTGTGAACCCAAATCTGTTGGAGGTCGTGAATCCAAATGTGTTGTAGGTTGTGAACTCAAATGTGTAATAGGTAATGAATCCAGATGTGTAAGAGGTAGTGAATTCAAATGTGTTGGAGGTGGTGAACCCAAATGTGTTGGAGGTTGTATTCTTGTCGGTATTTCTACATTAGCAGGAGTCGAAGATATACAAGGGTATTCAGGATGCGATGATGTTCTTGGTGTACTCAAATGTGCTGTAGATGACGAATCCAAATGTACAGGAGGTAGTGAAACCAAATGTATTGGAGGTATTGAAAACAAATGTGCTGGAGGTGGTGAACCCAAATGTGTTGTAGGTTGTGAACCCAAATGTGTTGGATGTGGTAAACCTAAATATGTTGGAGGTGGTGGTGCCAAATGTGTTGGCAGTTGTCTTCTTGTTGGAGATTCTACAATACCAGGAGTCGATGATATGCCGTGGTATTCAGAATGTGATGATGTTCTTGGTGTACTCAAATCTGTTGAAGATGGTGTTCTTACTATTGTTTTTATACTGGCAGATATGCCAAGATATCTAGGATGCGATGGTGTTTGTGGTATATTCAAATGCGCTGGAGGTGGTGAACCCAAATGTGCTGGAGGTGGTGAACCTAAATGTGCTAGAAGGTATGAACCCGAATGTGCTACAGATGTTGAATTCAAATGTGCCGGAGGTTGTGAACCGAAATGTGCTAAAGATGATGAACCCGAATGTGCTAAAGGTTGTGAACCCGAATGTGCTAAAGGTTGTGAATCCGAATATGCTAAAGGTGGTGAATCCGAATATGCTAAAGGTTGTGAATCCGAATATGCTAAAGGTTGTGAATCCGAATATGCTAAAGGTTGTGAATCCGAATATGCTAAAGGTTGTGAATCCGAATGTGCTAAAGGTGTTGAATCCGAATGTGCTAAAGTTGGTGAACCCAAATGTACTAAAGGTGGTGAACCCGAATGTGCTAAAGTTTGTGAATCCGAATGTGCTAAAGGTTGTGAATCCGAATGTGCTAAAGGTTGTGAATCTGAATGTGCTAAAGGTGGTGAATCTGAATGTGCTAAAGGTGGTGAATCCGAATGTGCTAAAGGTGGTGAATCCGAATGTGCTAAAGGTTGTGAATCCGAATGTGCTAAAGGTTGTGAATCCGAATGTGCTAAAGGTTGTGAATCCGAATGTGCTAAAGGTTGTGAATCCGAATGTGCTAAAGGTGGTGAATCCGAATGTGCTAAAGGTTGTGAATCCGAATGTGCTAAAGGTTGTGAATCCGAATGTGCTAAAGGTTGTGAATCCGAATGTGCTAAAGGTTGTGAATCCGAATGTGCTAAAGGTGGTGAATCCGAATGTGCTAAAGGTTGTGAATCCGAATGTGCTAAAGGTTGTGAATCCGAATGTGCTAAAGGTTGTGAATCCGAATGTGCTAAAGGTTGTGAATCCGAATGTGCTAAAGGTTGTGAATCCGAATGTGCTAAAGGTTGTGAATCCGAATGTGCTAAAGGTTGTGAATCCGAATGTGCTAAAGGTGGTGAATCCGAATGTGCTAAAGGTGTTGAACCCGAATGTGCTGGAGGTGATGTTCTTGCTGGTGTTTCTACAATATCAGAGGTCGACGTTATGCCAAGATATTCAGGAGGCGATGTTGTTTTTGGTCCAGCAAAATATGCAGGAGATGATGTTATTGTTGTAGTTTCTGTTATAATAGAAGTTGATGGTATGTTAGGCTGGATAAGTGTTTCTAATGCACCCGATTGTGCAGAAGATGATAGTCTCTCTGGGATTTTTGCTATATCATGAATGCAAGACGGTGGTATTTCAGCCACTTTTAATATGCCAATGTATTCAGAAGAGCCTGCTTTATCTGAAGAAGAAGTATCTGACACTTTTATTGATGTTTCTGATGTGTTAGTACGTCTAAGAATGGCTTTTCTACCTAAGTTACTATATATTTTTTGTAAGGCAATCTGCATAGGACGACGTGGTTCTTCATTCTCTGCGATTCTAGAATCTTGAGAATACGTTTGTGTTCTTGATGTGGCAGAAGGTTTAAAATATAGACTACGTGGAGTACTTGGAGTAACAATAATCTTTGGTATTTCCAATTGTCTAGGATCTGTAGGACTCCTTGGAGAACTAGAAGTCCCTGGTGTTCCAGAGGCTTGAAAATGCGGTTGTATACCTGATGTGCCAGGGTTTACAGGATGCCCTGGCGTTATTGTTGTACCCAAATGCGCAAGAGATGTTGGTTGTTCTGGAATTTCTTCAATAACAGGAGTCGATTGTGTGCCAGAGTGTCCAGGTGGAAAAAGTGTGTTTGATGCACCCGACTGTGCAGAAGATGGTAGTCTCTTTTGAGTATCTGCAATATCACGAATGCAATGCGATGGTATGCGAGAATGTTCACTATATGATATTTCTTTTGATGTGCCAACGTATTTAGAGAAGTCTAATTTACGTGATGTACGAGAAGTACTTTGTATGGCAAACTGTGCAGGAGGGTCTGTTGTAGATGAAGAAAGGGAAGTATTTTGTATTGTTTCTGATGCATGAGTATGTTTAAGACCATCTTTACCTATTTTATAAACGGTAATAGATATAGGATGATGGAGTCTCGTAGAATTAGAATCTCCTCTACTACGGTTTTTGGGAAATTTACTAATTTGTAACCCACTTGGAACACTAGAAGGCCCCGCTGTGCCAGGTAATGATGATATTTCTTGAGTGCTCGAATGTGCAAGAAATGATGTTCTTGCTAGTGGTTCTGTAATGTCTGGAGTTAATGGTTTGCCAGAGTGTGTTATTTCTGTTGTGCTATATTGTCCTGGAATATTTTCCTTTTCAGGGCTGAGTGGTATTTCTGGTCTCTCATAGATGTTAGTACAGAATTGTCTTTTTATTCTGCGAGGAAATCTAGGAATATTGAGAATTTCTCGTTTTCTTTTGACAATGGCAAGAATTTTAGAAGATGATGCTAATTGTGAGTTTGGTTGTGTATCTGGGGTTAAAGAATACGATGATGATTGATCTGTGGGACTGTCTGATCCACCTGAAGTACTTGAAGTCCTAATGTCTTGCTTACCATAACCACTAGAAGTCGCAGAAGTCGATGGCATGCCATGTACTGCCATAATACCAGAAGTCCATTGTATACCAGAATATGTAGACTGCGAGTGGGTTCTACTATGCGATACTATTTTAAATTGATTATTGGGTCTTTTACGTGTTTTTTTTACGTTTGGTCTCTTTCGTTTTTTGACTGTTTGAGTACTTTTATTGCATTGTTTAGGAATTTTAGAATGGGATGATTCTTCAGGAGATGCAGCTATCTGTGACAACGTACGTTTTATAGAGTGTTCAGAAATATCTGCTTGTGTAGAAGTGCTTGGTTGTGTAGAAGTGCTTGGATGTGTAGAAGTGCTTGGGTATGCAGAAGTGCTTGGGTATGCAGAAGTGCTTGGGTATGCAGAATTGGCTATGCCTATCTGTTTAAGTGTCTCTGGTTTTTTTGAACTGTCAGAAATTCCTATTGTTGCTGCAGCAATGCTAAGAATTTCAGAAGATGGTGATTGTGAGCTTGCTGATGTTAATATAACATTGTCAGTCATGTTAGGGTGTGAAGAAGATGATGATAGATCTGAAGAGTCTATGGTAAATGTTTTCGAGTACATTATTTCTGGTGTGCCAGGAGTTGAAGGATTCGATGGTGTTTTTAATATGTAATATTCTGATTCACTTAAAAAGTTCGAAATTCGAGTTAATACAGGAATATCGGGTGAATTTTGAGGATCTAGTATACCTTGAGTATTAAGAACCACTCCTGCATCCAAATACGCAGAACTCAATGGTATGGCCGGATGAAGCATGGATACAAGTTGCGATGATGTTCCTGGTGCGTCTAATTGCTGAGGAGCTGGTAATTCTTCTACTCCAGAATTATCTACTACGCCTAAAATATTCGAAACTTCTGATGCGGTAGAGGTTGAAGGTGATGAAGGACTATCTTTGTCATCCGGATTATTTGAAGTTCTTGTTGTGTTCAGGTATGTAGGTTGCGGTAGTGTTCCTGGCGTTTCTGGTGTTCCCGGACTTCCAGGAGTCTCTGGTGTGCCAGGATTTCTGAATTGTATTCCGAATGAATTTGGACCAAGAGTGTCTTTTTTATCTGGTGTACCAAAACTTATTGATGTATCAGGGTACGTAAGATGCAATGGTGTTCTTATTATGCCTGGAATGTCAGAAGTTCTTGATCTTTCATGATAGTTCGGATAATACGGTGTTCCTGATGTGCCTGGAGTAACAAAAGTTCCAGGAGTTTTTGGTCTACTTAAAATACTAGGAGTATCTGATTGTATAGGATGCGATGGTTTTTCTGGAATGACAGGAGTAATGGATGTGTCAGGGTGTGAAGATTGGAATGGTTTTCCTGGAGTTACAGATGTTCCAGATGTGCTAGGATATTCCGGATAATATTGCTTTTCCGGTGTGCTTGGAGTACTAGACATCCTTACTCTTGCAGGTTTCCTAGGGAATTCAGGATGTGATGGTGTATCTGGAATGTCAGGAGTTTTTGGTTTTCCTGGAATGTTCGAGAGCCTAGGAATTTCTGGTGTGCCGGGCTTTTTAAAGTATTCAGTATACGATGGTGTTTCCTGTTTTCTCGATGTGCCTGGTCTTCCTGGAAGATTAGGAGTTCTTGACGACGTTGGAGATTCTGATTCTCCTGGAATCGTAGGAGTTTCTGATTTTCTGAGGTATCCAGACCGAGGTGGTGTTTCTGGTGTATCAGGAGTGGTAGGATATTTAGGTATTCCAGGAATTCCTGGGGCCCCAAGTGCTACAGATCCAAAATGAAGGTTATGAAATAATTTGTATAATATTAATACTCATATCCGGATAGTATTTGTTTAAAATTTTCTTACTTTCTGGTTCTGATGGTGGTATCACAGTAGGATTAGTATTCGTTCCTTCAAATTGTGCACATATGGATGGAAAATGTAACTTATCCCAAGCTCTTAGAATGCCGTGATGATCATGATGATCGTCATTATCATGCTCATGAGATTGACTATTCTCATGATGTTCATGTTCGTGAAAAAATAGTTCGACATTTTGTCCTGGGTGGACTACTCTATATCCCCATCCATCACTTATGTAAAATGTTGTTTTTAATTTTCCAAAAGGATCTACATAGCCGTAACATCCATATGTAATGTCGTCTGGTCCATGCATTTCGTGATGAAATTGTCCATTAGGACTCACCTCATAACCGTAATTATATGCATCTGAAAAAAGGTCCTTCTAATTTAAATTTTTTCCTCAAGAAAATGACGTCATTGTTATTTTATAAATAGTTTTATTTTTAAATATTATTACTTACTTGAATAAAAATCTTGATTTAAATATTGAGCCTTGTGTTCATCACTAATGTCTAAAATTAATTCCGTGCCTTTTCTATTTTCTTCTAACTGTGTGAACTGCGAGACTACAATGGTAATAACCTTCGGAAAAAAATATTTTTCTATGTTTAATCTTTGTCGTGTAATTAATATCTAGAGTTTTGGAATTTAAATCCACTTTCGATCGTCAATGTATTACCGAATGGAATAGGAAAATTTACAAGAAGCTCAATTTTTTATTATCGCCAATGTAACGCTTGATGTTTTATTTCGAAAACGATAGAGTTCTTATCGTGACGTGCGATCTCGTCAAGGATTAAAAATGAAGGGAAAGCGAATTCGTTGAAAAAGTCTGTGGATTCTTATACGTCCAACTTATAGGTATACGACACCTATAAGCGAGCATCCTTCATTTTTCAGACTCATTCGTTTCGTTTAATGTCAGTTATTTCGGCGTTATAACATTTAGCGAGTAGTGAGAGTAACGCGAGATACTTCACGTAATACTTTCCGGAAGGTTTCGATATTTCTTTTCGCGATGCAAATGTAACATGTTTAGTTTTGTCGATGATACAAAACGATGTTCGATTAGACAAAATAGACAAAATAGACGCAGATTTACTAGCATTAGTTTGACATTAAAATTTATAGCGTAATATTATAGGTCATTGAAATTGTCCGTCTCGTTGTATAGTACAGCTTGAGATCGTTTTTTTCGTGTGAGCGGTTGATGATCTCAGCGATTCTGTTGTTCCACCTACGAAAAGGGAAAGTAAGATCCCCTTGAGGATACGGAGATCTTCATTGGGCCATATACGTAAAGCCAGAAATTGATAATGTGGGAGGACAATGTTCAATAACAATGAGATAATGTTTAGAATCTAGTTGCGCTCGATATCAAGGACGACTGTTCTCTTCGAACAGAAGTTTTTTTTTTTCTTTTTTTTTGTTTTTTCCCTCTCCCATTACGAAGACCACTTGTATGCTGTTATTTAAGAAGAGCGTCGATCCTATCGAGAAGTCGATGAACGTTAAATTATACGCTTGTCCAAGAAGGGGAATAAAAAAAAAAAAATAGGCGGATCTTGCATCGCGTGCTACTCCACGTGACTACTTTTGACGTAATTATTAATAACGATAATATAATTATATTACGCGAACGGTATAACGGCATTGGAAAGGTACAAATAAGTATTCGAGAAAGAAAAATAATCGATAAAACATCGTTTCATAATCTTCGATTGTAGTAATGAAGTAGGATGCGTTTAAGTATACATGTCGATCGATCGACATCAAATTAGTTTTCATTTTCTTTTTTATGGAAATTGATCTTTCGTTAGACTCAAACCGGATCTTCCTTTCTTTCTCTCTCTCTCTCTCTCTCTATCTCTCATTCTCACTCTTTCATATCATTTTAATTATTTACAAGCAAATCTACCGGTCAGATTACCAATATTGTATCGACTCGAGCATCGGAAAAGACAAATCGACGCATCATCTTTTGGTGAAAGTCACCAATGAGTTGTGTAATGGAACAACCGTCGATATTGCCGACGGCTGTAAAGGCCAAGATCGTTTCTTTCATGATCGTTTGTCTCTTTCAAGCGTCTACTTTTGGACTCTGGGTTCTTTGCATGAGACTATCGAGACGTTGCTCGATTCTTTTCAAATTCCTTTCTACCTTTTTGGAACTTTAGATCATTTCTCTTAATTCTGATAAAATCATATTTATGAATCGTGAACGAAGGATAGAAAGAGAATCGTAGAAAGAAGAATTCTGATAATTGATTAACTCATTGTATTATATATGAGATAGTCTTACGTTAACGTTATTATATCATTGTACTATTTACTCTTTATCTCATTGTATTGATAATGTTAAAGGGAGATTTTACTCGGGTCTTCCCTTTTAATGAATTCTTTCGTCGCGTCATTGAGCCGCGCTATTTACTTAAACATTATATATAAATATATGTAAAATAAATTTATCGAATAATTTATCGAACGATTTATAAACATCAAAGTAATGCTAATTATGTAGTCAATCATCCGTTAAGAATCGATGGAACGTCTGAAAAGTCTATTGTAGCGTCGTTGCGACAGAGAAAAGGTGTATTGCAGAAAGAAAGCTGGTTTTGTAGAATGTAGAAAAATTCATTGTCAGGTCCCGTTGAGAATTGTGTGAGCGAGATGTCTGTTAAGCCGTATTCGTGGGGTTTCGCGGTTTTCTCTATTAAACAGCGAGAATAACCAGTGGAATGTCGGCCGTACATTTGATCTCTGTAAAAGTAATTTTACGCTACAAAGTTGATGTAACGTGAAAAGTAATCGTTCGCATATTATGCGATACGCGTTAAATAAATTTATTTCAACTTCTCATAAGGTCCTTTAGTTTATTACTCATTCACGACTTTACAACCTACGAGTTCTATTCCATCTGGGACTATTACGAAAGTATTGCATTTATATAAGCGCGATAATAATGGAAAATCGACATTGAATTCCTGACCTTTTACAAGGTAATCCCTAATACGTCCAATGGATTTACTAATGAAAAATTATATACGAATTGTCATTTGAAAATTGACAAGTCATAAATTTGGCACTTATTCGCGTAACGATCAATGACAGCTGGCTGGGAGACGCTTTGGTGCGGAACAAATTAACTGATAGTGAGCTTCGTATTTAACCGGCCGTATCGTACCGTTAAACGTTGCATTTTTTTCTTTCTCTTCTTCTCTTTTTCTCTCTGTCTCTTTATCTCTCTCGGATGTGTAAACAGTATAAAATGGATTGCATCGAGAGATAGTCTCTCGGAAGATCCGAGATAAAAAGATCCGACCGGTAGTCATCGATCATCGTTGGATTTTCAATTGGAAGACGTCTCATTTAAATGAATATCATTGTAACGCGTTGTAAATACTTTGTTATCGTTCTAAATAGAACTTTGATAATCAGATATGACATCGAATTGAAAAGAATTTTCCTACTTCGATCTAGATTTGTCTCATTCAAGAGAGTAAAACTCTCTTTTTTCGCCATAAAATTCATCGATATTTATTTTAGTTTCGCGAAACTTTTATCATCTAGATTGTTTTACGTGAAATCCGAAAACGATACGTAACAAAACAGGGAGGAGGAGGAAAGAGAAAAGGAAAGGATAACAGATGAATGATCGACTGAAATTCATTCGTTGCCTATATCAACAAATTATACGATAAGGAAAAATCCAATATTTTTCCTATAAATGGAACTGTGTTCCATTTAATTGATTGTGTTTAGATAAACAATTGAAATAGAAAATGAAATAGAAAAGAAAAAACAAAGAAATAATTAGAACGGAGAGAATTACGAAGGTATTGCGAGTTGAAGGAATTATCGCGATAAAATGAGAAGATGTTAGTCGACTGATAATAGAAGTTCAAGGTTTAAGGAGTGTACGTATATTCTTCCGAGCATATAACCGAGACGTTTATGTCTTTGGCCTTTGTAACAGTGCTCCGATACGCGTCGCCGAAGAATCATGAATGAAATGTAGTGCAGCTGTTGCTTCGATGAATGGAAGTCAAGATCAATGAAAGGTGACGTTCACTTTCAGGACTAGTCACTTTTACGATCTCTCATTTGCCTTCTAATGAAACGCTTGACGATTTTTATGCGTATTATCGTAAAATTGATCCAATTTTCGACACAAATTAATATTAATTTATATAAGATAATATTATTATAAAAAAAAAAAGATTATATCAATATATTTTTTCGAAAGATCGTAAGCCTAGATTTTGTTCTTTTAAATTCATATATCAAAATTAAGAGTTCCACGTTAGATGGAATCGTCTCTTCTCTATCACTAACTCTTCGTCGAATCGATTTTTGCGATTTTCTATTTGCAGTCGAATCGACATGCTCCGCCAATTTCGTAATCCTTTGGAATTTTGTCGCGCGAACCAGCGCACGTACAAGCGTAGATGTAAGCACCTATCATCGCTATATTTGCGTATGTAATCTCAGCCGTTCGTATATTGCTAAGTGATTATAACGTGTTCGATCGATTATTTTACTTTTGCTCTATTTTCAAGAATTTCTCAAGGTCCATTCGCCCTCTATTCGGAATTTATGAATTCTCGTAGACGATGCTTTCGAAGTCGCTTTGAAGTTTGAAAAAAATAAAGAAAAAAAAAAAACAAAAGGAAAAAGAAAAATAAACTTAAAAAGAGATATCGATCGTCTTGCACTTTCTTGGAAGAAACAAAGAAATAAAAAAGAATACGTTCGATCGGTGATCACTGAAAGTGACGCGCACTATCGAAACTGTTGAATTTTAATTTTTCACATAAGAAAAGAGATTGCACTTGGCCTCGAGTAGTAGCAGGCTCATCCACGTTGAAGTTTTCGTAGACTAAGGGACGTACCAGGATGAAGAAAGCAAAGGTCGTAGGGCTAAGGCACATCTTGGCGAGCATATTGCCGAGCATCTTTGCCGAGAATCCTGCCGAGAATCCTGCAGTACTGTTGCCTCCTGTTATTGGCAAGGCATCCTTCGTCCTCGTTGTCGCGCCAATACCAAAGACTCTCTTTCAGCCTCGGCGAAAGATGATCTTCGGATTAGTACACAGTGTATGTGTCAGCCGAACTGAAAGACTGAAGTCGTCGCCAGTCGAAGAAGCCTTTTATACAGGGTGGGGATCGTCTACCAGACCAACCGACCAACTTGATACCCATCCTCCTTGTATCTCCTCTCTTTTCTCCATTCTTTTGCCACTACCACCGTCTCACCAGACTCTTTAGTGCCTTTTTCGTCTTCTTCGTCGTTTTCACCTTCATGAGTTGTCTTCCCCCTCCCCCACCCCCTTCAATGACATTTAAAAAGATTCGAAGTAAAATATAGCGTAATTTCAATCCTGTAAATTCTGCTGATTTTTCACGTTTTATTTATTATCAAATCGCATAAGCGAAATCGTTTCTCTATCCTTCCAATCGGTTCTATTTCGTTCTCATCGTGATATATTTTTTTTTTCTTTTTAAAAGGCATCATTAATACATCAATTAGCGAGTTAGTATGTAGCGACTCTTACGATGATCTATCAAGTCGATAAATGTTT